GGTATATGAGGGGCTACCACATTGGGTAAAAGTGCAAACATACATGTAATTGTACATGCAAAAGATATGAACTAGGTGGCATTGTTAGAACTAAATAAGAAATTGATTACACATGAAATGCAAGGGAAAAAAATAGAATTAAAGCCAAAGGTCCTATTGTTTCTACACTTATACTATTTATATTCCTTTTCTTGTTTCCTTGTTTTCTAGTCCTGGATTGGCGTAATGATTTTTTTCCTGTTATTTTTGGAGTAACAATTTTTTTTTTTAATTTTCTTTCATGTAGCTTGATTTGGGACGTCATATTTTTCATCGCACTTCTTCATGCATTAAAACCAAATTTTTTGGATGCGTTATGGTATTTTGTATTTTAAACACAAGAAAACTTTTCAAGATAGCTATATATTTGTGAACTTGAGTTGTCATTTGAATTAGAGGTGGCAAAATGGGCGGGATGGGCGGAATTTGCTTGGATTTGAGATAGAACCGAGTTATATGGGTTTGGACCCAACCTTACCCATATGTGTTTTGGGACTAACTTGGGCGGGATCACTTTAGGATGGGTTTAGATTGATCCCGCCCAATACCCAAATCCATTTTCTACATATTTTTTTTCCTTTAATTCATTTTTTATTTTTTATATAATTTTAATATTTTTGATTTATTAAATTTCTTTTAGTTTTATTAAATAAACATGCAAGTGCATTATACTCAAGATTCCCACCAAAAATCGGATTAACAAATAAAAGAAAAGATAGATATACAGCCATATTCCAACATATATCAAGATGGCCAAGGTCCTTAGGATGTTGAATATTTATCTTCATCATTGTCCAAGGATGACAGGTCTAAACTGACTGAAATGCTGGAAATTCTTGTGGATAATGACTAGGAAGACTACTAGATTATATTCACTGGTATGACCATAAAAATTGTTAAAGATAATTTTTGAATCTAAGGCTCCGTTTGGATTGGCTATTTTTTCAAAAAATAAGTTTTTCAAATACAATGTTACAGTAATATACAATAACTCAAGAAACATCCCATCCATATTAGTATATCAAATATTTCAAAAAAATTTTATAGTAAAAATTTTTCATATACACTACTACAATAAAATATTTCAAAAACACCCCCAAAAACAGCTAATCCAAACGGAGCCCTTGCTATTTGAGCCCAATGGGTACCCAAGTATTTCCCACCCTTTCCCATTCATTAATGGGTATAGTTGGGATGTGTCCCAACTTAAACCCAATACCAAATTATAATACCCATCCCGCCCAAAATTCCTTTGGGCATGGGTAGCCCATTGGGACTTGGGACAAATTGCCAGCTCTAATTTGAATCAAATAATGAAATTCTCAGAATTTTTGCTATTTAAAAATTTTCAATATGCTTATGCTTGTTATTTACTTCTTAAATTTTTATTTCCTTGTATCAGCTATGGTAACATTCGACTCTTTCTTTGCAACAGCTTAGTCGAGTTAATCATTTAAGAATTAGTTGGTTCTTGAACTTTTTGGCCGATACTGCAACTTCATCAAGGATAGCCCAATTCTTGTGCAATCAGCAACATCCGGTTAGTATTATTAATTTTGTTGAGAATATAACTAAAGAATCTTCCCCGCGCGAGGCGCAGGTTGGTTCCTGCATGCCCGCATGGTGTTTTCTTAGGGAGTCTATGTGGGCTTTTTTTTGTAAAAGTTTTTTGATTTTTTTGATTTTGTTGAGTTTAAGTTTGAAATAATTGTATAGTAAATACGGGTTATATTATGTTGGATTTTAAAGAAATGTTATATAAATTATATGGAATATTTTAAAATAGACTAAATGAGAAAGATAAAGTTGACTAAGTTTGACTTTTGTTATTCATCTTTTGGGTCTGATAAGAGAAAGGGTAAAATATAAGTTTTTTATTTGTGAATTGTAAAATGGGCTAAATTATATTGGAATGGATGATATGTCACATTAATTATAGAACTATTACTGTGATGCGACTCATGTAGGCATGTCAATGGGTAGGGTTTGGATTGGATTCTTTTGATCTAAATCCGGATTTATTAAATTTATTTCCAGACCCTTATGGGTTTGAAAAAGTAAGATCCAAATACTTATAGATCTGGGTATTTATTGGGTATCTGTGGATATTTTTCTAAACATACTAAAGTAAATATATATATATATTTATATAAATATATAGAGTTCATAAATAAATACCATCCAATTTTTGTTTTCAAATAATAAAATTAGCATTCAAGAAATTGAATGTAATATTATGAACTCAAAGAAAAAGCTAGGGTAAAATACATAAAACCCCCTTGTGGTTAAGGAAATTGACACGAAACCTCCTCATTGTTTAGAAACTCCCACTTAACCCTCCTGTGCTTTGGACTTGTTTGGATTTTACCTGCTAACCGGCTGGGGAGCTAGCGAGTGATATTTACGCGACTTAATGGTAACTTGTGTCTAGCAGAAACTCATTTCATTCCAATTTTGTCCTCCATGACTCTTCCAAGCTTGCACCCACCATAGTTGTAGATCTGCAAATGAAAAATTTCGACAGAGATGCAAAACGAAGACCCAAAAACCACTTTTCCTCCAACACCTCAACATATTTCCCCAAATACTCCAAATCCCACTTGTATTTCTTAAGGAATGGCTGCTGCTGGCTTGTGCTACTTTCCCATTTAGCTGCCTGCAGACGCTGTTCTGTGTGTCAAAGTAAAGTAAAGGGAAGAAGTGGGAAGGTGATCGATGTTGGTTGCGTTAATTGCACCGCTGGTCACGGAATTTATGGATATCGCTGATTTAACTTTCCAACGCATTTAAGAGTGGAAATGATCTGAGAAATTCCTAGTGCTGACTTCTCTACGGCACTGACGACTCTCTTTTTTTTTCTTTTTCTTTTTTCTCTTTACTGCACTGACGACTGGTGGGAAATGATACTGGTGGCCTCTGAGTTTTGTTGGGACTTGGTGGTGAGACTGCGCGGACTAATGACAGAATTTCCAGTCTTGCGGAGGGGAGTAGAATATTACAACTAACAATTAAATTCACGCGCGGCCATCCTGCCCATTAAATAGGTGTTATGTGACAGTAGTGTAACTTGAGCAATTAAATTCGTCCACAAAACTAGTGGCTAAGTGCTTAATCAAGGACGGCCCAGGTAGGGCTGAGAGGGTTGCTAAAAAGGGTTTCGGCTTTGGGGTTCTGGGTTTTTTCTTCATGGTGGAATTTGGACCGTGGGGTTTTGAAAGATATGGATCTGGGAATTGGGAGGTAGAAGGGTTGAGGTAGTTAGAGTGGCTCCGAATTGTACTGTACTCGTGGATGCAGCAGTAGAATGGTGTCGGAAAAAGGCTCCGATAAGAGGTGGATCATGACGGGTGTGTATGGAAGAAAGAATCCGAAGGAAAGAAGGCGACTTTGGAGGAGGGAATTGGAGAGGATGGCATCCAATTTTTATGAACCATGGATAGTCGCTGGTGATTCTAATGCAGTTAGCAGCAGTGAAGATAAATTGGGAGGTCTGAGACCCCCTCGAGTCCCAACCTTGGAATTCAGGACAATGATCAGTGACTTCCATTTCATGGAGCTTCACAAAGGAAAGAGGAATTTACCAACCTTGCTTCTCTCATGGTACAATCCTCTTCTCGCTGAGCCCCTCTGCCTTCATCTTCGGGAGATAGATCAGATGCGGAAAACCTTCTAGAACGAGATTCTATCTCAGAGGGCCCTCGCTACCATCACATCTTGGTCTTGGAGAGGGAAATTCATCAGCGAAAGATTTTCAATCTGTGAAATTCATTCTCAAGTGAAAACATTCTTCCAGCCCCCAAGAGACAGGGAAAGTCAATCACAGTTGATGGATCCAAGCTGACATTCTTCAAAGGCTTTCCCGGACTTAAAGAATTGACTCATTGCATCTGTAACTTTTCACATATTATATATGAGGGTATTTTTGGTATTTCATATTATTACCGGCTCATCAGCCGGTTAGCAGGTAAAATCCAAACAAGTCCAAAGCACAGGGGGGTTAAGTGGGAGTTTCTAAACAATGAGGAGGTTTCGTTTCAATTTCCTTAACCACAAGGGGGTTTTATGTATTTTACCCAAAAAGCTATTATCAATTACTTCTATTTATTTTCAAAGTTTCAACTGCATCCACATCCAACCTTAAAAGAGTTAGTACCAATTACAATGATAACTACACTTAGATTGAAAAAAAAAGAAAATAATTAAAAATATATATAAATGTATACCTCTTTTTCTTATTTAAGTCTCAATGTTGGTAAATGTCTCACAATCCAACCCAAAAATAGTGAATGAGATAAAAGCCTTTTGACTAAGGATCAATGGCAAATAATTAATAGAATAAGAAAATTTATAAACACTTGCACATCTTTTTTTTTTTAATTCAATCTAATCATCAGTAGTCATTAATGCTTCAACCACATCTGAGAGGCAATTTGGCATGAGTTTCATCCTTTTTTTTTTTTGAAAAACTTATTTTTAAAAAACAAGTCAATCCAAACGGAATTGTCTTTGATTTTTACCATAATTTTCCAATATTTTTGGTTCATTAAGTTCTTATGTCTGTTAATATAGTCCCTTGTTTTGTCTCTAACCTAAGCTAGTTTTGATCTTGAATAATATGAATTTTTTGGTGCAATAGTTTGAGATGATGCATAGAACAACATGGAATTACATAAAAACTAAAATAAGATTTGGACATACACTCAATAGAACTTCTTCATACCAAACCTTTTTGTTCATTCCAAGTGCACCTCAGAAAAGCCAATTGAGAAGGATTGCAAGTAGGTTTTGTGCCTGCAACTACTTATAGTGAAGTACTCAGTAGGTTGAGGTGCTGTAATTTGTTTTCTTGACTACAATAATTGGTCACTAATCAAATTTCAAATTTATGAGTAATTCATTATCCTGCATCTTATGATAATTATCCTTGGCAACCTTCTCCAATTCTCAAGACCAAATAAAAGTAGAAGAAAAGTTCATTACTGAGATCTGAGATTTATAAAATTAGACCAAAAACATGAGAATGATATCTGAGATACAGTTTAGCTGTTACAGCTTAACTTTTTTCTACCTCCTTTCTCTCCATTTTTGTTCTACTTCTTATTGTTTCCCTTGCCCTGTTTGCTTTGAGAGGCCTTATTGTTGTCATTGTTATCAGTTCCTCTAAACAAATTTTTGCCATCATTTTCCTCCTTAGGCTCAGCATCAGAAACTATCCCAGAAGCAGTTTCCCTTGGCACAATTAAATGATTTAGAAAAGCCTCGAGCCTGGGCCTCTTTGACTGCAAGCTCTTCAGAAGTGATCCAATTTCTTGCAAGTTTCCAGTCTGTATAATATCACTGGTGGGGGAAAAACATCAATGAAACTTCGAGTAAACTATTGAATCTAACACTTCAAAAGCCAAACATAAAAATTGTTTAGTCAGGTATTGAATGTAGGAAACTAGGGAAGTTGCACAATCTGCAAACATGAAAGCAGCAGAAGTTCTTTTGTATCACTACTACTTGGTTCAATTGCCAACCAATATGAAAATTAAGCAGCCCTTTACCTGGAATAGTGCCACAAATTCAGCTTTCTACATAAAGCCCATATGCAAAAACCATGGATATCAATTGTCAGTTGTCACCCTAATGTTTAGTCTAAGAAAACTGTTACCAGACCATCGCATGCATTCGATTTCAAGTATTTAAAAGCTGTGGTTATGAACTTACCTAGCATCAACTAGGGAGATGAATTGCTTGATTTCATCAAGCATGCTGCTTGCTTCACTGAATTGGTTTACACTACCACAAGGAAGAAATTTCTTTACATTCAGTCCAGCAGTTAAAGAGCTTGTACTTTCTTCCAATTCCTCCTGGAAACGAGTTAAGAAGCTTATACTTTCTTCCAATCCCTCCTGGAAACGAACAGCATAAAAGAGAGATGTTAAAGCTATTACATGGAAGTGCTTGTATGATTATTAAACGCAAAATCCACAAAGAAGCTGAGCAGACCTAAGCAATCCATTGGTGATTACCTTAAATTGAGAAAGATTAGGAGAACAGCTTGATATTTGCACATCAGAGATTTTTTCAGAAATGGCTGAGTACATCTGCGGGTTGCTTTCAGTTCCACTGTCTGTGCTCATTTTCTGACCTGGTGCCGCAGAAATGTCAATTGACATGAGAGACTCAGCATTATGAACAAGTCCTTCACACAAATTCGGAGCATTTGGTTCAACCATAGGCCTTTGCTGATGGTAACTTCCTTGCTTTGGGAACAAGTTTCTCATGATGTCGTCAATTCTTGGTGTCGACGCTGTGTCAATGATGATTGCAGGACACCCAAATTTTGGACTATTTTCTCTCAAATGCACAATCACAAGAGGATTTCCAATCCTACTGAATGCTTCTACAGTTGCATTTAAACTAAACCAATCCTGAGTCAAATCAAGCATTCTTCTTGGCTTAAGTGCCTGAATGAAAGGCATTGGCAGCTGCGAACTAATATGAGACTGATCAAGCAGATGAGAAAGAACGTTAGAATACTTGCCCGAGTTCAAGTGGAGCAAGCACAAGATAACCACCAGCCTTAATGCTAGTAGTGGATGATACTGATTTACATCAATTTTTGATTTTGCAATCCATGATGCTGTCTCCCGCTTATTAAAAAGAAACTGTTCAACCATCATAACAACAGAATCAAATATGATTTCAGGAGACAACTGCGTGTCAGCTACTGAACCGGCATGTGGATACATGTCTGCTTTAAGATAAATAAGCCATTCCACAAAAGAATACTTTGTTGTGAAAAAGTAATCCTTGGAATGAAATACAAGTAGCAGCAGGCGTTCAACAAGATATATTAAACAATCAGGTGATATATAGTCATATGACCTCCAATTTGCAAGATAAGTATCTCTCAAAGCTTCGTGGAAGCTATCAATCAGTGAAAACTTCTTCCAATCTTCACCTGAAGTATTTGACGAAGGATCACCCAAGGATCTTGATTCTGTTATCCCAGAATGCCTCAATGAAGATACTTGCAAAGAATCAATGAATGCTCTCCAGGAAAAATTCTTTTCAAATCTTTTTGCTATCTTCATGCACAGATCATCTGTTGGTTTTCCAGATCCAAGCCAAATCATTACCACCCTCCCAATTTGACCGTAGGTAAGGTCACCCTTGTTACTGATATTGTCAACAATAACCTCTTCAAGTAGACTCCGTGAGAGCTCAGTTTTCCTTAAAGAGATCATGTTTTCCACCAATGATTTGCAACAGTCTAGTGGAAATACATATTTAAAGTACGTAATTGGTGTCCACAGGAAATTTTCTAGCCTCCTTTTAACACTATCATTGAATTTGAATGACTCAGTCAAAAATTTCATCAACTGATAGATATCAATGAGGCGCATGCTTTGGCAAAATAGGGAGAATGACTCCCTTATTGACAACTTATAAAGAGCTTCAACAGTGTCAAGTACCTTCAGGCTGACAGAAACTACTTCAGCCTGGCAATGACTCAGAGCAGCAGACGCAAATTTTCGACCATCAATGGATACCTGGTTCTCGCTTTGCTGCTTCTGCTTGAATACAGAACCAGTTGTTTTCACCCATTCAGCATCTGAGTTCAACAGTATATATGCTACATTTGAATTGATGACCTGCCTCCTCACACCAAAATAGTTCAAACAGAACTCACCATATTCAAACCATTCATTATCATCTGGTTTTTCCACTGTTTTGAGATATTGCATGATATTTAACATGTTCCTTCTCCACATATCCCAAAAATACATGAGTGAACCAACGGAGATGTGGTTAAGTGAAATCTTATCTTCTGAATGCTTTTTCATATCAACTTGCAATTCATCTTCCCATTCAAACTTCCGTGCTGTACAATCAAGATGAGCATCCAGGATCCTCCGGATAGATATCAATTCAACTGTCAGATTTTTACATAGCTCTGAATAAGTGAGAGACTGAAGCAACTCATGCAAGCTAATATGCTCATGTGACAAAACTTCAACCTCTCTGCGAATGCGTTCATAGAACTCATTCGATTCTTCCTGTGCGAATGACATAGCTTTCTTTAGCAGTATTTGTTTCTGTCGAAATGGCCTCAAGGGCCAACCTCTATTTCCAGTCACCCATAGAGAGCGATGAAGCACAAATGAAATGATGAGTAAGGATGCTTCCTTGAGATGGCCTGCCTTCCCAAGCAGGTCTGCCTCCCGTGGCAGATCCCCTCTCAACTTTGCTATTTCTATAGCTTCCTCGAAGTTTCCGAGTTCTTCTTCCAACAACAAAAGTTCATCAATACAGCCTATGCATTTCAGGAAGTTACGTCTGGAATCCATAGAAAGGAAAGCTCTAACATATTTTATCATGGATTTAAAATCCTTGAGCTTATAATAACTCAAAGCGCAACTCTCCAAGAACTCTTGTTCAATTTTTTCAATTTCCATTTCGCCAGGAGCATTCTGTTTCCATTTCGTAATGTATTGCCTTCCCAATTCAAAAAGACTCCCCTGAGTGCACACAGACAAACACTCCAACAAGTAATTGCCATCAGCATAAGCCTTTGCTGCAAGTTCATAACTTCTAGCCAAAGTGAAACAATCACCCGCTTGTTTAGGATCTCCACATTTATCAAAGGAAATTCTTCCTGCAGCAAGATTCAAAAGGTTGAACTTCAAGACTATGCTTTTCCAGTTAAATGTTTGCACAAGTAAAATACCATTTTCAAACCAAAGATAACTACAAAAAACAACCAGTTCCTCAACAACAAATCCCCCCCCCCCCAACAACAAAAACCCCATCCCCTCTCCCTCCCACAATAAAACAAAAGTATGTCTATAATAATTGTATTAAAAAACATAGGGGACATTGAGATATCATGCCTGCTCTTTCGTAATCCCCTCTCAACTTCGCTATTTCCACAGCCTCCTTGAAGTTTCCAAATTCTTCTTCCAACAGCAAAAGCTCATCAAGACAGCCTATGCTTTTCAGGAATTTCCGCCTTGAATCCATAGTAAGGAAGGCTTTAACATATTTTGTCATTGATTTATGATCCTTGAGCTTATAGTAGCTCAAAGCGCAACTCTCCAAAAACTCTTGTTCGGCTTGTTTGATTTCCTTACTTTGTTTGGCGGTACCATTACCACCACCAGCAGCCTGTTTCCATTTCTTAATATATTGCCTTCCCATTTCAAAAAGATTACCCTGAGTACATGCGGACAAACACTCCAAGAAGTAATGGCCATCAGCATAAGCCTTCGCTGCAAGTTCGTAACTTTTAGCCGAAGTGAAACAATCACCTGCTTTTTTAGGATCTCTACATTTATCAAAGTAAATTCTTCCTGCAGCAAGATTCAAAAGGTTGAACTTCAAGACTATGCTTTTCCAGTTAATTGTTTGCACAAGTAAAATACCACTGTCAAACCAAAGGACACCAGCTGTTATTGAACCATAACTACAAAAAACAACCACCCACCCCTCACCCCTTCCCCTCTCCCTGGCGCCGACAATAAAACAAAAGTATGTCTATAAGAGTTATATTAAAAGATATATAACTAAGGAGACATTGATACATCATACCTGCTCTTTCGTAATCCCCCAAATCACAGAAGCATTCAGCTGCAGACTCAGCTCTGCCAATGGAGTCGAACAACTCAGCAGCCTGTCTGAGTATTGTACAAGCCTCTTGAGGATTTGACTCACGCAGCTGATCAGCAGTTGCCCTCAGGCTAGCAGCCTTGGCCCGTTTCTCCCAATTTGTATCTCCTGCCCTTTCAAAGCACATGGTTGCCATATGATACTTGTTCTCCTGGTAAAGCTGCATTAAAATATAAAGAAAAATTTTGTAGATTCCAGAATGAATGATAACATGCACAGCAAACGCGAAGCATAAAATGCATAGAAGCTGCGGTAGCAGAAACTTTAGAGAGCAGTCCAACCTTTATACCCCTTGATTTCCACTCTGCAGGACTGCTCGCCATTAGCATCGTTTGTGAAAATGATTCATCCACCTCCTTTACTTGCACAAGGCCCAACTTCTTCCAGAAGTCAAACATGGGTGCAGCAAACTCCTCACTATCTTCACAAATCCACAGTCTCTGCCTTGTCCGCGTAATTGCCACGTATAATTGTTTCAATTCAGAACAAAGGATACTGTGTCTTGCATGACTAAAACTAGGAAAGCACCTAGGGAAACAAGAATCACGTAGATCTTTTTTCTCCACGAAGTCATACACCACTCTCCATTGGTTCTTCAGAGGCGATGAACTGAAAAAATTGTACAGTAAGACATCCTGCAAATTGTACAATAACCCAATCAAGACACAGAGTAAATTTTGAATGAAAATGAGGAAAATCTTTAGCAAAGAAATCACTAAATGGAAGAAATAAAAGCAGCTAGGCATGCATTCAGTTTTCCCAGGCCCTTGGTCATACTCATAAACGGTTGGTTAGAGAATCACTTGGTAGTAAATGACAATCAATCACCTGAAACTCTAGACCCTTGCATTCCAGTATTGTAAGAACAAGAGCATGATTTCCTACATCTCTAGAAATTCCTTCCCGAGCAGAATCATCACGTACTAGTATAACCTGTTCGGCACCAAAGCCTACTACTTTCCCACCAGTCTTTGCAGTCTTTCCGAAAATAATCTCAATAGCACTCTCGTTAGGCTTAAGCAGAACAGGAGCTTCACCATATATAAAGCTAATTTCAGGTCTCAAAATATCAACAGATTGAGGGAAAAATTGGTAAAGAAGGTCTGTGACACTCTGTGCTAATTTAAGTACTCCAGCATGAGTACGGAAGTTCTGGTGCAAATTGAAAACTTCTGATATACGTCCTTTCTCTTTTCTTTCAACATATTTGTCACTCTTTGATTTCATTATGAACTCATTATAGAATAGAGATCGTATATCTTCAAACCTAAAATCAGTACCCCTGGCAATAGTTTGAGCTGTATCACCAGAAAAGACAAAACCTTCATCCACATTTTTGCAGATATACTTGAACAGAGCTATCTGACTCATAGCAAGATCTTGCACTTCGTCAATGTACACAAAATCCATTTTATCACCATCCAGACTCTTGCACTTCAGCCTAAGATGAAGGTCAATAACAAAATCAGACAAATCAAATTCCCCACGCAGTAATTTCTTCTTCTCGTAAGCTTGAAAAACAGTATAGATCAGCTCTCTCTCATCTGAGCTCAGGGTTGATGCCCTACTATTAGACATGGAAACATATTCTTGCCTGCTCAATTTACCATCAGGGGCTTCCCCAGCTAGCAAGCCTCCTTTAATGTGAGATATTATCTCCGTAAATGTTCTTGAAGAATCAAGATTCTTCGTCAGTTGTGAATTGAAGTGAGGCCAATAATGGAAACAAAACCTCTCATAATTTACCTCCTTCATTCGTAAGAGAGATTGCAGAACAGCAGATCTGAAATTTCCACTTATACCAACAGAAAAGTCCATTATCTTCATCATCTCAGGAAATCGTCTGAAATATGAATCACCGATTGTCCCATCAAGCATCATCAAAAACTTATGAAATGTAATGACAAGAGGGTACTTTTCGGAAGGAATGCCAACAAAAGAATCTGGTATATCTTTAAACTGTTCTATCTCTTCCACATCTTGGGCATCATTCAAACGGGCTTCAGATGGGAAATTTCCACCGCAAGCAAAACTGCACTCAAGACAGTTATGGTTAGAGATATAATTATTAAGAATACTTTAGTTTTCTCTGTACTATGTAAAAGGATATTATTTTAAAGAAGAAGTCTAGTATGTCAGAATGCTAACTGTATCATGTAATGACAAAACGAGCTGCTAGGAAAAATCCACCATATCTCACATAACTTTCCACCGACTACACAACGATTAGAAGTGTGAATTGATTTGCTGCTAGAATTCATTGCCGCATGGATTTCTGTGATGTTCCTTTTCTTTTTTGGTTATTCAACGAGAGGCTCCAAACCTGACAAGGGGAAGGGGGAAAGGGAGGGCTGGAGAACCTGGGCCTCACCATCACCTAGCTAATGTCCCTACAAGCTAAACTGGGTCTTGGGGACATATCCCAAAATTAAGTTGCTCGTGTGATCTCTTTCCTTTCCTGAACTATCTATGAACTGACATGCCAAATGCCTTCTCAGAACATTATGTCCTGCACAGACTTCAACCTAATACATATTTTAATCTTATAGAACTATGATAAAATGTAAATGGCTTCATATACAGCATGTAGTTGAAGTCCATCGTATCTATACTATGTAGCATGACTACTAAAACAGCACATCCAAGTAAGCTAAGTTAGACAATTAGAGCAGCAATGAGTATGAATCGAACACTACATTAAAGTACATACAAACAAATTGTACTTGATCACTGGTTAGCGGTTACCTTATCAGACTGCAGAACATAGTCTTGGGCTTACTGTCACAAAAAGCTGGCGCAAAAATGTCTCCCTCGTCACTCCTGTAGAGTGATCAAACTCAGTTCTCTTCAAGACGCTCGTAGACATACTGTTCTCAGCTGTAGTAAATCCTTCCGAAGCAATATGGTAGATTTGTTCTTTCTTGAATAACTTCATGGACAGGACAGTAGTTTTCCCTGTGCCAGATCGCCCAAGGATGAAGCTGCTTTTGCAGAATTGAATAATTTCCCACTCTTCATCTGTAACTTCAAAAGGCAGATCCAATTCCTGACCATCACGACTGAAAAGTAAATGACTTGCAGCACCAGGTGATAGGGAGTAAAACTTCATGAGTTGCAAGCTTTCGCTAACTCTCGAATTTTCAGCATAACATCCATTATTCATGTTCTTATGTCGGATTATGTTTGATGAGTTGGGCCAACACATTGGAAGTACTGCTCTCCTGAACAAGTAAATAAAAGGAAAAAGCACGAGCAAATATGTTAATGCTGTCCCATTAAAAGTGGAATTCAGTTGGTACGAAGAAAAAAGTTACCCATTAAGACATTTCTGTTTGCATCGATTGATGAAATCATCAGTATACATATTGAAAATGTTGTCAAGACGTTTCAGCAGCTTTGGGGTCTCCGCCACAGGTAATATATCCCACACCTTCAAGACTTGCATGTAATTTGATTTCTTAACAATGTCTATTGAGCACACCACAAAGAGCCCCTCAACCTTAAAATGTTTCACAATCTGTGTAGATCTTTCACAGACTAAGTCCACATTTATTTTCTTAGGTCGCGCGCCACGGGCAAGACAAAGCAACAGGTTTAGGACTAACTTCTTCATGCGGGTGGAAGTCATATTTCTAAATGATTTCCGAAAGTCGTCACTAAATAAAACCTGTGACATAACATATAAAAGTAATAAAAAGATTCATGAATAAACCAGAAATTCAAATCCAAAATAACCAAAATGATTAAACTATACAAGAAAATTTGAACAAAGAAACGACGCCTTGCAGATTTTAGCTAACTAAAATAGACAACAGAAAATCCACAATAGATTAGGTATATATCCAAACACTATATATGGACAGAATGCATAATATTGATATCATAACGATGATGCTACACCAAAAGGAACATAAACACGAAGAAATTTTGAATAGAGAAAAGAAAGTGCAGCATGTTAATACAAAATTTGATACCGTCCAAACTGTCATGCAAACTTTTATAGTCATAGTTTCCTTTATGCTGCCAGGAATGTTACCTAAATTGATACCATAAAGAAGCAAACAACTGAACACTGAACATTACCGTCCACTGTTGCTGTTTGAAAAGTGTGCTATCCTCATTAAGCAAATCCTCCATCTGATCCAGCTCTTTCTTCACATCCACAATCGTCTTTGATACATCAGCGTCCTCATCAGCACTAAAGAAACAACCACGAGCCTCAGCATCACAAATTAATGCTTCCCAAACTGATCGAGTATTTGTTAGTGTATCCGCATTTCCAAAGATCCAAAGACAGTGCCTAGCAAGGGACAAGAAATTCAATTTCTGCATATTTGAAATTAAAGATTAGAGAAAAGTTGCTTGCAGTAATATAGCTGATAAAGTACCGAGCTCTTGTCAAAGCAACATTGGTTCTCTGAGGACTAGATAGGAAACCAATAGACCCTTTATTATTGGCTCTTACAGTAGATAATAAAACAATATCTTGTTCCCCACCCTGATATCCATCTATAGATTTTACTGTCACAACAAAATTGTCAAGATTTTCAAACTTGTGACGAAGTTTTTCTTGAACCAGTGCAACTTGAGCAGCGTAGGGTGATATTACCGCAACGCTTAGATATGTATCAGATCCATTCCAAGCTGTGCCAAAAAAAGTAATTCGTTACGTAAAAGAAGACGTGGAAAAAATAAAACAATAGTCAAAGTAGCATAAAAACCATGTCATGGGTATTAAGTACGCATATTACAAATTCAATCAGATCCCTAATAGATAATTAATTATACAAGTGAGAGTAGTTTTGCACCCTCAATACTCCAGTAATTCATGTAAGATGGCTCTACCAATCCTAATTTGATGTTTTGATGCATTAAGCTTCAATTTTCTAGCCCTTCATATGATTTCCAGAGACAAAAGCATTTTCATGAAACAGAAGCTACTCAGTCAAATATTATACTATCTTTAGCCAAAGGTGTCTTTTTCTCATTTTCATACTCCTTTTCTATTGTAGAATGAAGGCATGTCTTTCCTTTCCATTGTTCTATCTGGACTGGACTAAGGCTAAACTGAAAATATGGACTCTGATAGAGTCAAACTTAATACAACAGCATATATTTTATGATATTTCTCAACAGAAAACTTGCTTGTAGATGAAATTATTCAAACTAGGAAGCCTTGACATGCCTTTGTACAGCTTCTGAACTATCTTTACCACCACAGCCGCCTCAACAATATTTCTCAAGCTGTAATCATCACCATCGCCATCTTCATTTCCACCTGGGACATTAATGAATGAATAGGGACCAAACATTTTCTCCCGAAGAAAACACCTTTCGTGCTTTTTACGCCTAACTTCAGGTGCATCCATGATCTTGTCCGTATAGAAGATAGAATTTGGGAAGCAACTGATAGATGGATGCATTCTATATTGAATGTTAAGCAGATGCTTTGGCTGACCCAATGAACTCAACCTTTCAAATAAGCTTCTTCCAAATGCGGCATTGGCAGATATCTATATTATACGTAAACAGATATATATTATGTCTATGAGGTAATCAGATGTCATGCCTGTAAGATTATTCTATTGGTCTGTATAAATTCATTAGCAATTTGCATACCTTGCTATTAACGCTTGCTGGAAACTGGCACTCATCACCAACAAGAATAGCATGCTTCAAACCAGGTAGTTGAAGTGGTATAAGGGATTCACACTCTTTCAATTGGGCAGCCTCATCAATGACCAGCACTTTAAGTGGCTCCACATTTGTCCTGTGCAACTTGTAGGAAGTAGAAGCAGTGCAGAAAACCAAGGTAGCCATTTGGAAACAGAGTTCCCTTATTGATTCTTCATTCACAGTGGCTGGGATGCCCAGATTTTCAAGAGTTGAATGAACGGTTTTTAGGACAAAGAGACACTTGCTTCTAATATCTGGCAGCAACCAGGTACATGTGACTGCTTTGGAAAAATCTTCCACCATTATGCTAGAAGAATAGAGCTTCTCCAGTATATCAGAGGTCAAAAACTTTTCAAACAGCTCCTTCTCCAAAGACTCAAGCAGATAAATCAGATGTACCATCTTTTCAAAATTTTGTTTTGCAACAAAACTTCTTGCTACATGAGTGCAGAATGTAATCAGACATCTTCTGAGGGATGGTAAAATTGCTTTTACTCGTGCTCTGATGAATTCTAGAAATGACTTTGGCTTATCTTTTGGAGCTTCATCTTTGTTTTCCTTGGTTTTGATCAGCTCATTTTCCAGAAAGATATGGTAGTGTGAGGCACCGTGCTCAAGCAAATCAATCATAGAATGCACACAATGTTTCAAACCATTTGATGGTGCAAAGCACTCAACAAGCCTCTTCACGCGGTAGTCAAGATATATATCTTCAATATCAGGGGCAACTTTTAGTCGATCCTTATTTCCAAATAATATAATATCTCCCAATGGAGTAAACGGATCACTTTTTTCAGATTCAGCAGCATATGCCTCTTTTACCAGTTTTACCACTCGAGATGCAACTTCTTTTACTGCCACATTGGTTGGGGCACAACAAAGAGTCCTGTAATTCATTCTTAATAGGCTAAAGAGCATCTGACTTACTGTTTTGGTTTTCCCTGTCCCCGGCGGACCCCAAATGAGTTCAATGTGAGAATTCTGGTCACATGTCATCTTATTGAGAGACGCCCTTATGGCTTTAGTTTGGGATTCATTCATCTGAGTGTATAAATCTGATCCAAAACTTTCAGACAATTGTCCAGTGTGATTTACTGAACAAGAATCACACTGTTCTTCAACCTGTGACACCACATGCAGCAAATATCAACATAAAGGGTAATCAGCAAAAATAAAGATTCATCTAACCAAAAAACACACAATATTGAAAAGCAGAGAAATAGTTCACCTGAATATTTGATCTCCATATTAATTAGCCACACAATGACCTTAGTTCATAAACTGTAGAAGTATGTGTTTTCATGGCAACATTTTTCATATCCTGGTGGTCGACTTGACAAAAGCAAAACATAGCTATCTTATGGATTCTCTAGATTTCTCTAGATTTAGCAAATGCATGTTTGTCCAAGTGAGATACCAATGAATACGAGATGAAGATGGAGGACTAGTAGACTGACCTGTCGTCAAGCTTGGTATCTATAACCTAAGTACATGTAAACAACTGATTGAGATACAAAAGATTATTTATAGTAAACAAAGAGGCACATCTTAATCCTTTTAAGAGAAGATAATAAGCAAAAAGATTATAGCCTTTCTTTTGAATTTCAAAACAGCTAAATCTAATTGTAAAAATGATGAATTTTACTAACTTGCTCCAAAAGCCAGCCTGGTGATGGTGAACATAAATTACTTGAAGAAGTGAAATTCATTTTTAAGCTTAAAAAAAGATGAGGATTGAACCAAACTAACATTCTCTTTTTCATCTTCTCT